TATGTACTAGAGAAGTCTAGTAAGACTAGGATTTAACTAGTTAGATTAGTTAAATAGATTCCAATCTAATGGCTGATTTAAGAGGGTTGGACTCTCTCTAATCTTATCCTAAAGGAGTTAGGATTTGTAATTAGATTAGGAGAGGGCTCATGCAGCCCTCCCAAGTCTATAAATAAATTGGAACATGAAGGGGTCGGATGCATCCTATTCTCTCATTACTTGCTGAGTTCTGCCCTACCTTTGTGAGAGGTTTTGACTAGGGTTTTGAACACCATTCAACCGGACCTTTTATCCACTCTTTTAGGTTTGCTTTGGGTTAAAAATCTTGCCCAAATTTGTGAAAAAGGTTGGATCCTTGCTGATGTAACTTCTGGAGAAAGAAACCAAGACTGCAAGATCAAAGTTGCACAATCTTCAACTTGTTGCAGTGATTTAAGGAGGATTTGGCCTGGGTGTGAACACCACATCGAATTCTGCACTTGTGGACTTCAAAATCAGGTAATGCACATAATCTTGTTCCAAAAGATCGGATCTTCCGTTGACAACATAAACCTGAGGGTCACATTTGTGGATAAAAACCTTGGATAGTTTTCACATTTTCTCTATAACTGACATCCAAAGGGCATGGAAAGAGATAACACAGTCCTCTAAGGGCAAGTAAACTATAAGAGTTGAGTGGAAACCACCAAAGGGAAACAAAGTGAAACTGAATTTTGATGGAAGCTCTATGGGCAACCCGGGAGGGGAGCAATCAGGAATGAAGAATTCAAGATATTGGCTCTATATTCAAGGCCAATTGATATTACAAACTCAACAAAGGCTGAGTTATTGGCATTATTACAGGGCCTCCGATTGGCAAAGCAATTGGGTTTTCATCAGGTGGAAGTGGGTGGGGACTCAAAAGTTGTAATCTCTTGGGCAAAATGTAATAGACATATCCCATGGACCCTCAAGCATATCTTCAGAGAAGTGGAGAGATTAGCAAAGGATATAAATGCTGATTTTAGGTGGATCAGGAGTGCAAATGGGTTAGCAGATACTTTAACCAAACAAGGGACTGCAAGGCAGCAACTATATTGGACCTCATTGTAACTTGGGTTGTAATCCTTGGGGATGACTATTGGGTCATCAGTCTGTAATTAACTCCACATATTTTAATTAATTAAACAATCATTTTTCCGATCCAAAAAAAAAAGATCAGATCTTTCATGGTCCAAAACCCATTTGATCCAAGAAGAAAAAATCAAAAATTTTCTCCCATGCAATTTCAACATTAGGGTTTCAACAAAATTTTGATTTTTCACCACGCTAATGGCTGGAATTTTTTGCATAACATGATTATTGGATGATCATCTTTCACTCATACCTTAGGTCATAACCCGAGCAGTTGAGACCCATTGCTCCACTACATTGGGCAATGTTAGAATGACAACCTTGTCAGGATAGACTTCCCCAAGTGTATCCATTGGTTGTGAAGTTCGAGTCCATATTATAACAATTATGTGGTCTCATACATAATACATTAATACTTATATGAACTAGGGGTATTTAGCAGAACAACCCGATGACACATGAAATGAATATTCTTTTTATTCATAACAAAAGTATGTACAATGCATTAGTTGGAGCTAAGGGCATTCAAACTGTCTAACACATGAAACAGTCTTGATGCAGCCTCTATTTACCCCAATGATCACTTTCTCCTCACCCATCTTAGCTACCCAATTGGGTAAGTCCATTCATTTTTTCACACCCTACATTAATACACAAAATAATAAAGAATCCATGTTTTAAAGCATGAAGGTGTGATGCAAGGCATTCCACTACCTGATTAGGTAGTCCATTCAACAATCACTTTTTTCTTTTTCTTTCCCTTCCCTTTCTTTTCCTTTCCTTTCTTTTTTTTTCTTTCTTTTTTCTTTTTTTCTTTTTGTATGAGGCATGCATGAGGCACATGAGGTATATGCCTCTAAGCACGCCTCTTGCAAAAGGTGCAATAGGCATACGCCTCAAGGTGTTTTAGGGGTACGCCCCCCCCCCCCCCACGCCTTTTAAAACATTGAAAGAAACTAATAACAATTTGGAAGTGAACACCAATTCCAGATTTATTGGAATATTTTCATCATATAACCACATGTTTCATTTTGAACTTTACTCATGTCTTCTTCTTTATGGTCATTGAGCATTTTCCAATAACTTTCTTTTTTATCAAAACAACTTCAGCAATTTTATTAAAATATCACAAGAATAGTTACAGCAAGGAAGACACACTCTTATCTTCCAAAAACAACTTAAGCCCTCAAAGAAAGAAAAGGAAAAAAATAAGCAATTTAGTTATAACTTAGCCCAAAACATTACATCCCCTTCTATCCCCTGTTTAGCTAGCCCATCAGCTATAGAGTTAGCTGATCTTCTATCCCCTCTCGTTGCTGATCTTCTCTCGTTGCTGATCTTCTAAGATTTCTTTCTTCCCATAAAGACCAGCATACTGCAGCCCTCAGTCCTCTCCACATAGTCCTTCCCCTTTTCATGCGCCACCTGAACAAAGAAGGAGAAAAAAGGCTCTGCAGATCTGAAGGAGGGTTCCACCTGTGCCCAAAGAGAGAAAAAGCCCATTCCCAAATTGACATTGCAAATTGGCATGACACCAGTAAGTGAAAACCAGTCTCCCCATCCGCTTTGCATAGAACACACCAATGAGGTGATAAGCATATTTGGTCTGCACCAAACCTCATTAACCAGGAAAGGGGAGGTTGTAGGACTGGTGGACTAACATAAGACTTTGAAAAAGGAAGCACAGGAAAAAGAGCCCGTGGGGGTCAGGGTCCAAGTTCTAGAGTCCACCTTAGAGGGGTCAATGAAAACATTATCAAGAAGGTCAAGGAGGCTCAAGACACTGTGGAGGTCAGAGTCCCTCACAGCCCTCCTCAATCCCAGGTTCCACCCAAACCCAGAACTTGAGGAGGAAGGGGTGATGAAAAAAGAAATTGGCTTATTTTTTAACTCAGAGAGGGCATACAAGGAAAGAAACTGGTCCTTAAGTGGAACATTCCCCACCCAAGTTTGTTCCCAGAATTTTATGCAAGTGCCAGAATTCAAATCATACTTGACAAGGGGAGAGAAGACCGAAAGCAAATCATGAATGGCTTTCCCAGATGAATTGCTTGTGGACCTTGCTCTGATTCCAACATCCCATCCATTCTGCTCCATCCCATGTATGTTTGCCACTATTCTAGCCCATAGCTTCTCCTGCTCCAAAGGAAACCTCCACAACCACTTTCCCAAGAGTGCCAAGTTACTTTTCCCGGCATTTTCCAATAACTTCACGGCTGTATTTGTTGTCATTTTAGGTTTTTAACAATTCAAGTTATTGTAAACCCATTTTAATGATAGAGAGAAGAAGACAATCAAATCGAGTCACCCCTTCATGTGTTTCAATGATCTTGTGCAATGACTGTTACCATGTAATGTGTTGCTCGTGGTACAGCAATAACAGAACTGTTTTCAACACACAAACTCACCATATCTATAATTTGTACAGTACCATACAGCTTCATGCTTAGGCTGGGTGGTTCATGCTTGGACCAAATTAGTTTGAATGACCTTAGAAACATGTTAGAACTAGGTTTGGGTGTGATCTAACATGTTAGTTTTAATAAAAAAGAATGTTTTTTCTCAATTAATATAAAGTAAATTAAAAGCTTAAGATTGCAAATTGTATAAAAAAAGGCACCCCAATGCATGAGGCTCCCACCAATGCAGGGTCTGGGGAGGGGCAAAAGTAAACAGCCTTAACCTTGCACATATAGAGAGGTTATTTCCAAGATTTGAGCCCTGGTCACTCAAGTCACATTGGAGCAACCCAACCGTTGTGTCAAGGCCTACCCTTTGTAATTGCAATTTCTATATTAATTAATAGTAATTCGTTAATTGTAATTATAATTCAAAACTTAAGCAAATCAAAACCTAATTTAATTAACAACAATTAACATAAAAGAACTAAGTTACATTAGTATTTAATTATTTCATGAGTAAGTCAAATAACCAAAATAAACTTAACTAATTCTTATTATAATGTTGGTAATTAAATAAGATATTAAGATCATAAATATTTGTTACATATAACAACACTAGTTATATAGTTATGTATATAATAATGAATAGTATCATAAAATTAGTTAAATAAATAAGTAACATTATAATTATAATATAATAATTATTAATTATTTATTATTAATAAAATCTGTAATAATATTGTAATTTAAAATACTTTTAGATTCTATTTAAAAATACTTACATTAACAAAAATTCTAAAATTAATTAATACAATATTGAAAAATATAATTTAAAATTAATTTATAGTTAACTATTAAAATTATAAGTAATTAATGAAAACTTTATAATTCATTGAAACTCCATGTTATTATAATGAAAATCCATTCAAATTCCATTTAAACTCAAAATAAAAATACTTAAATTAACAAAAATTGTAAAATTAATTTTATTAAATTTAATTGAAATAAATAATTGCATTCCTTTTAAATTTTAAAATTAAACTATAAAATTAATAAGAATTTCATTTAACTTAACTAATAAATTTTAAAGTTCCATGTATAATTAACTAATAATAACAGTAATTTTTTTTAATTTTAATTATAGTTCAAAAATGAATAAATAAACAAAAAATATATAATAATATAATATTAGGCTTCATAATACTATAATATTAATGTTATTATAATAATTATTATATTATTAATTATAATAATATTATAATTTTTGTACAAAGTAACTCAAGAATAATTCTTGAGTTGGACTTGGACCAGATTGGCTCAATTGAAAGTGTCATCGTTTAGTTCTCACCATTTTCTACATTAAGCACCCCACAAGCAAAAGCTCCGGTAGTGCTGTAGATTTGATCTAGTATGTAATCAAGTGTGGAAATGTGGAAAACATTCTATAAGAAAAAGAAAGAGAAAGAAAGAACACAAAACACATACCCCTGAACAGAACGATGGAGGAATACTGGATTCCCTGGATCTAAAGGAAGTTTTCTCAAAGCACTAAGGGCAGCATATTGCAAATTGCTTCGAATAATAAACTGTACAAAGCCCATAAGGCAATCACTGTTCAGACATTGCTAACTCACTGCTTAAATGAACTACAGTGTAACTTCATAATTGAAATATCACCAGAAGTATGATAAGGAAAGTATCAAATTTGATTAAACAAATTACAATCCAAGAACAGAGCAGAGAAATTGAGAAAAGAAGTAAAATAAGAAGAGAAGATAACATCTGAACAAGAATTCACCTACATTAAATGAGAAATCCCTGATGGTTTGAGGTAGTGACAGGTCTTCATCCAAATGCTTCCGAGACTGAAGTCATGGCTGTGGGGGCGATGGAGTAGATCAATGAGCTGCGGGATGTGGTTGTAAGGTGGGAAAGCTGCCAGCCAAATATTTGGGTATGCCTTTGGGTGACAAATGTATCAATAAGGCCATGTACTTCCTGTCTCTCTTCCCTATTACAGCTTCGGTGGCAAATGCAATTGAAAAGAAAAATAAGAGATGTTCTGTGGAGGGGGTGGAAGGGTGAGGGAAATTTTCACCTAGTGACTTGGAGAAAATGTGTGTTCCCAAGGGGAAGTGTGGCTCAGGGATTAGAAGGGTGAGGGAAGTAAATGTTGCTATGTACGGTAAATGGTTTTTCAGGTTTAATGAACAACAAGACAATCTCTGGAAGAGAATTTTTTTCAGTTTAATATGGGTGTAGAAATTTGGGGTGGGATCCAGCCATCCAGGTGAGGTGAGACAACCTTATGGCTGTGTCCTGGAATAGAGTGGACAAGGCTTACAATAGATATCCCAAGCCAGATAAGAGGGTTTGGACTATTATTTGTCTGTCTTTCCATAAACACAGAATTGGTTTGGATCCCTCCAAACTTACCTACCTATTATTTGTCTGTCTTTAGGATTTTCCTAGCTTACAATAGATAATAGGTAGGTAAGCCAGATAAGAGGCTTACAATAGATATTCCTAGCTTCCCTAACTGGTATCCTAGCTTCCCTAACTTGTATCCTAAATCAGTTTTGGGTGTCTTAATCAGGTTTGTTTGGATCCCTCCAAGCCAGATAAGAGGGTTTGGACTYCTAGACCCAATGGAACHTTCACTTGTGCTTCTTTTTTCAAGTCCATCTCTCAACTTCCTACTCACCAACCCTTTCCGTCAAAAGAAATTTGGTGTAAGCCAGT